GGGACTTTCTCGAAATGTTCGAATGAACTCTCAAGACTTAACTCTTAACTCTACCTTGAAATTGAATTACGAATTAAAGGTTTATAATTCATGTTATGAATGATTTCTAGGTGTTTAGAAGTCATTTAGAGTAGTTAGAATCAATAGGAAGTGTTAGTACACTTTAGAAGGACTTAAACGGGCTAAATGATGAAAAATGGGTTGGGGGGGACGGCCCTGGCGCACTGTTGACGCGTTGCACCAGTCCCAAAGTTTAGAGAGCCATTTCTGGCACACTGCTGGCATGCTGCCCCAGCCTCCCTGGTGCTACAGGAGAGCATCGCGCCAGTATCCCCCAGGCAAAGCTGATGAACTTTTCCTCTCATTTTCTGATCCTAAATCACTTTTTATCATAAAAACATTCTCAAGTTTTCCTTAGATTCAATTACCCAACCTAAGTACAAATTAATACACTCAAAACAATCACTTTCATCTTAAGAAATCATCAAAACCCCAACAAAACAAGATTTAGAATGAACTTCAAGAACACCTATCAAGAACTTAAATCCTTCAACTTTTGAGAATGAAATTTCAATGAAAATAACATGTTTGGCATGTGGATGAACAAACCCAACACTATGGAATCTTACATACCTCTTAGGGATTGAACCCATGGCAAAAATCTTCAACAAAATGCAAGACTCTCGACAAACGCTTTGATCCTCTCCTCTTTTCTCCTTTTTTCTCTTCTTTTCTCTTCTTGAACTCTCAACTAAAACCCAACACGTAAATTAGGATTATAATACTGAACCTAATAGGATTAGACCCTTAAAATCTTACTAAAAATGAATTAAATCTGATTTGGTAAGGAAAAGACCAAAATACCTCTCTAAAATCCGGTTTTGACTTTCCTTATCTAGACAACCCAACTTCGAATGGACATATGTCCCTTATACAAACTCAAAACTGAGAAAACTATGTGCCGTTGGAAATATAATTCAAAGATATTTCCTACGGTATCTAGTAGCACACCTAACTCATCCTGAGCTATTAGTTATGATCGTTTGAAGTTGACCCAAAACTCATACTTAGCTTAACTTTGTCAAACTTTCCAAATTTGATTATTTCCAAAAACGATTTCTTTCCAATTCTAACTCTTTATAGTTCTTTCAAAAAGTGAGGTGTTACAATATATCCCCCATGGGATCATTCGTCCTTGAATGACGGCTGGACTGGGTATGAGACGGGGTTACTCTTATCATCTCTACCATACTAACTAGAATTGTCCGCATTACTATTCGAAACCAACTAAGGGATTTCATAGAACTATTTCTCATAGTAAAACCTCCTCCTGCTCTTCCTCCTCATTTATAACCTTAGTGGAATTATCACACCATCCCTATCATGATAAAAACATCAACCTCTTCTTTCTAACATCACGACATTACTAAAAAGACCTCTAAAAGGATATCTCCCATACTTTGGAACTCATTACTATCTTACTCTCAAACACTTGACTTGATTTCTCATCTTGTCATCTCCCCCTTGGGTCTAAAATTGACACTTGAAAACTATGGACCTATTCCATCATCTCTAACTGGTCCTTATCTCTTTTACTCTAACACTCGGGAGAAGTTTATCTCATGACTACAGAACTCTCAATAAGCGGGTTCTAAGACCTCTTTCTAAGGTGTTTCTCTTAACTTCTTCTAATTACATACCACTTTGGTACACCTCGTAATGCTCTTGTTACTTTGTGACTTCGCCACACTTTAGTGCCCTCATCTAAAGGTTAGGATCTCTCACTAATACTACTCATATTCATTAGAGCTAACATCTCAATTCCTCACCTGCTCTATCTCAATTCTACCAGATCAAATCTCAAGACTAACATCATCACCCTCATGTTTCCATTCTTTGGATCATGACACTCATCTCAAATTCAAGCTTAATGTTCATTACTAAACCTGAATATCAATACAATTGCTCGCCTACAATGTTATACCTCATTGCTTGATCAGTTCTATAACCTTCTAAACATCATGACCCTCTCAAACAAATCATAAGCCTAGCTTAGATCAATCACTTTATGAATACTTTTTCTCTTCTATTTGACACTTACACTTGGTCATTACCTACACAATGACACTTCATCAAAAGCTCCTGTCTAGTTAGAAAACACTCTACGTCCTATGATGGAATCTTCACAACTCATCAATTCTTAGTTTACCCATAAGGGAAAACTCTTCATCCATCACTTACTGGGTGCATGACTTTAATAACATAATATTCCCCATCAGTAGCTCCCTTTCATAGATTACTAAACCTCTACATACTTTCCTCTAAGTCTAGGCACTGTGATATACCGTGAGTTTACGGTATTTTTAATATATTTCACTTAAGAGTTGTGTGTGTCTAGGGACATTTTGTATTGGTTTTTTTTATATGTTTTTATCATGTTTGTAGGAAATAAGTTTAGATGCGGAAGTCGAGAAACACATCTGAAGAATGTTCAAAAAAGGGCATCTATGGATGTGATTGACGGACCGTAGATCCAATCATGTTCCGTAGATGGTGATCGTAGATGGACGGGCAAGGATTGAAGGAGATCAGGGAATTATTGACTAAGTGTGGAACCACGGGTGCAAACGACGGACAGTAGATTGACCTACGGGCCGTACTGCAGTTCCGTCAAATCATTCAGAGATGGGGTTCCAGTACCTAATTTTCAAGATTCTAAGTATGGAGCTATAGAGGAGGATCCACAGACATTAGATCAAACCACGGTCCGTACTGTTGATTCGTCGATTGAGTCTGAGAGTGACGATTTTGAAGCTGAAAATATTGCCTAAGTCCTGAGCCACGGAAGGGACCTATGGACCATAGGTCAATCCACGGTCCATAGGTCAATGTCGTAGATCGAAACCGCATCTTGAAACATTATTTCCTTATTTCATTTCCTTTTTAGTTAGGACTTTATTATTTTAGTTCTAGTTTTTGGCTTTGGAGATTAACTTGGAATTTCAGCAATTCTTGATTTCCTAAGTTCGTTTTGAAGATTTTGACTTTGAAATTCAAGTTGAGATTCTAGGTTTATTCTTCTCATTACGTAAGTTCATGATTTCTTCATCTAAAAATATGAATTGTGTTCTTGCTACTATGGGTAACTAAATCCACAACTAGGGTTGTGGGAACCATGAGCGATTAACAAATTATGAATAGTAACTAAGTAATTCCTGAATAGTGTTATTGCATGCATTGATAATTCTTTCGTTTAGAATCTTTTTAACAAGTGCACACGTTTGAACTCACCTTGTTGCTACTTGCTGGACCAAAGAGTTAGTTAATAAGAAAACAATTATCAACATAGATTTAGTGTGATACTATCTAATAGTCTAATGTCAATTGGTGTGAGGGTGAAAACTAAGTCATACATCGATGTGATGTCTAATATGAGGTAACGGTAAGGGTTAGTAAATTATACACACGTAGCTGGACCAAGGTGCGGGGTGAAATTCTCTAGTTGCCGGACCAAGGAATTAGAGATACCTAACTTATCACTTTGCATATAATACACTAGAAAAGGATTACTATTACTAGAATTACCACGTTATGAGCTTATGGGGAACACGTACACCCTAGTTTCTCTCTCATCTTGATCAGAACAAAAGTTTGAATCTTGCTTACTAATTTTTCATAACTTTCAGAATTTGTTTCACAACCCCCCCCCCTTTAATTACTTGTTTCTGAACTACATTGACTAAAGGAATATAATCGTAAGCTGAACTTAAGTCTAAACCATATTCCTCGTGGGATCGACCCCAACCTACAAGTTGGGTTCTTTATTTGATAACGATCGTGTACGCTTCTTTAGGGAGATGTAATTTGAGCGTATCAAATTTTGGCATTGCTACTGAGGAATAAGGCTTTTAGATTAAGTATAACTACATCATTGAACTTTAGTCCAAATATTTCCTAATTTTACTTTTTCTTTTGTCTTTGTTTCTCTCAGTATCCTACTCTAGTGTATGTCAAGTACACGAAGCCAAGGTGAGCCACTTACTCCTTGCGACCCAGAATTGAACAGAACTTTGTGAAGAATGAATAACCAAGGAGACCCAGTCAATCCTATCGGAGGAAATTTAGGTGATGGAGTTGGGCTGCAACCTCCAAGGGTTGGTGATGAGAATAATCAGGTTCAAGCTGAGAATCTATTGGGAGATGCACTAAGGGTATATGATCCACCAGGACCAAGACTGCGTGATAACTATAAGGTCAACTTTAATGTCGTTGAATCTGAAGGACCTCGTGATAACTATAGGGTCAACTTTAATACCATTGAATTTGAAGGACCTCTTGTCCTAACCCCTATACCTCCGGGGCATACATTTGTGGTGACTAGCAGTTTGATGCAGATGCTTATATCGAGGGGTTCATTTGTTGGTTTGGCATCGAAAGATCCATATGCTAACGTAACCAAGCTAAGGAGTGTTTGCAAGAGTTGTGTAGGTTGACCGAACTTGGACATGGATGTCATTGGATTGCGAGTATTCCCTCTATCATTGATTGGCGATGCTGCTAGGTGGTTTAATGAGCTTTCTTATAACTCAATCTAAACATGGGGACAACTAACTGATGTGTTCTTTGCAAGATTCTTTCCTGTGTCAAAGAAGCTATACCACAAAGATAAACTCAACAACTTCGTAGCATTACAGAGATAGTCTGTCAATAGCTCTTAGGACAGGTTCACTGCTTTCATAAAAAGTGTTCCAAATCACCGCATTGATGATGAATCGCTGAAAGAGTATTTCTACAGAGGTCAGGATGACAATAGTAAGGCGATGCTTGATACTATCGCTGGAGGTTCATATTGTGAGTGCACTTTTGAACAGATTGCGGAGAAACTAGAAAAGATTTCCTGAAACAATAAAGCATGGAGCACTAGAAAGTCAGATACTGCGAGGAACACATTTGTCGTTTAAGCTACAAACAACCAGTCTACAGATGAGATTTGTGAGAAGATGGCTTATATGAGGACCGAATTGGGGTTGGTGATGAAGCATGCGAGCGGAGGTGCGAAAGAGGTAAATGTTGTCAATTATTTGACTAGAAATCCACCACCGGGTGAAGAATGTTACTATGAAGAGAATACTTATGCGGTGAATAATCAGACAGGGGATTTCCAAGCCAACGCCCAAGGTTCCAATACGAATAATTATCGTCAAGGTCAGGGAAACCAAGGTCGAAACTATGGCAACTACAACCAAGAGGGTCAATATGTCCGGGATGGGAACTACAATCGTGATAACAATTACAATCAGAACAACTATGGCAACAGAAATGATCTAGTAGGACCTTATTTCCCTCCTCAAAATTGGGAATCTGGTAATAGGGAAGCTAGAGGCAATATGTCACGTATTGAGGATATGATGAGAAGGTTTAATGCAACTAATCAGAATGTGAAGGAGATGCAAAATGACTTGTCTGGTATTGGTCAAAAAGTTGATACCCATGTAGTGTTAATTAAGCATCTTAAGCAGCAGATGACTCAGTTGTCTACTACAGTGAACCCACGTCAACCAAACACACTTCCTAGCAACACCATCCAGAATCCAAATAATGATGGGCATTGTATGGCAGTCACTACTCGAGGGGGTAAGCAGACCATTGATCCACCGATGCCATCTGGGGTTGAAGTTGAGGTTGGTAAAGATGATGATATGATTGAGGTACATGAATAGGCCTAGAATGCAATAGAGAAGGAAGCGGAGATAATTCAGAAAGTTGTTCCCATGCCTAGACCTCTACCTCCCTTCCCACAAAGGTTAGTGAAGAAGACTGAAGAAGGCAAATACTGCAAATTTATTAGTATGTTGAAGCAACTTTCCATCATTGTGTCGTTGATTGAAGTTTTGGAGCAAATGCACGGGTATGCGAAGTTTATGAAGGATTTGGTTACTACAAAACGGGCCGTGAGTTTTGAAGATGATAATAAGTTGCAACATTGTAGTGCTTTTGCTATAAGGTCCCTTGTGCAGAAGAAGGAAGATCCTGGGGCTTTCACTATTCCTTGTACCATTGGGTTGCTACATTTTGCAAAGGCATTGTGCGATTTGGGTGCTAGTATCAATTTGATCCCATTGTCTATTTACAAGAAGTTAGGTTTAGGGGACCCAAAACCAACTGTGATGCGACTGCTTATGGCCGACAGAACTGTCAAGAAGCTCATCGGTGTGCTCCAAGATGTACTAGTGAAAGTGGAGTCTTTTATCTTTCCGACAGATTTTGTGAAACTTGATTGTGATGTTGATTTTGAGGTTCCCATTATCCTTGGGAGACCTTTCCTAGCTACTGGGCGCGCCTTGGTTGATATGGAGAAAGGTCAAATGAAGTTCCGATTGAACAATGAAGAGGCAACTTTCAATATCTCTAGGTCCATGAACTAGAGTAGTGAGGTTAAATCGGTATCTATGGTGACACATATTGTAGAGAGTGGTTCTGAGGTGACTATTGAAGAGAGGTTGGGTGTTGATGCACTAGCAGCGGAAATGATGAACTTTGATGGTGATGGTATTGAAGACTATGATAAATTGGTTGCCGCACTTGATAGGTTTGAATTCTGTTCAAAACCAAAGAGATTGGAATTAGACATGAAGAATCGCGACTCTCCAACTACTAGACCGTATGTTGAGGAGGCACTGGAATTGGAGCTTAAGGCTCTACCATCACATTTGAGGTATGTATTATTGGGGAGAGATGGTACTTTACCAGTCATCATTGCGGCAGCTTTGAATATGGCTCAAGTTGAGGAATTGGCTTCCGTGTTGAAGAGGTTCAAGCGAGCTATTGGGTGGACTATTGCAAACATTATTGAGATTCCTCCTAGTAGTTGTTCTCATAAAATTCAACTCATGCCAGATCACAAGCCTAGTATTGAACACCAGAGAAGACTAAATATGCCTATGCAAGAGTTAGTTAAGAAGGAAATCATCAAGTGGCTGGATGCTGGAGTTATTTATCCCATTGCAAATAGTAGTTGGGTGTGTTATGTTCAGTGTGTGCCCAAGAAAGGTGGGATTATTGTGGTATGGACTACCGGAAATTGAATGCTTGGAAAATGACCATTTTACTATGTCGTTCATAGATCAGATGTTGGACGAATTTGTAGGTAAGGTTTGGTATTGTTTTCTTGATGGTTATTCGGGCAATAATCAGATTTCTATAGCTCCGAAAGACCAAGAGAAGACCACCTTCACTTGCCCTTATGGGAATGTTGCATTCAAATGGATGCCATTTGTGTTGTGCAATACTCCAGTGACCTTCCAGCGTTGTATGATGTCGATATTTTCTGATATGGTGGAGGAACTTCTATTAAGGTATTTATGGATGATTTCTCTGTGGTAGGTGATTCTTTTGATCGTTGTCTGGACCATTTGGCCGAGGTGCTTAAAAGATGTAAAGAGTGCAATCTTGTGCTAAATTGGGAGAAATGTCACTTCATGGTGAAAGAAGGGATAGTTCTAGGTCATCGGATTTCTGAGAAGGGTATTGAGGTTGATAGAGCGAAAGTTGAGGTAATAGAAAATCTTCAACCACCTATCTTAGTTAAAGGTGTGAGAAGTTTTCTTTGGCATGTAGGTTTCTATAGGAGGTTCATCAAGGATTTCTCCAAAATTGCGCATCCATTGTGCAAACTGCTCGAAAAGGATTATAAGTTTGATTTTGATGATGCTTGTCTGAGAGCATTTGGAGAGTTGAAGGAGAAGTTATTTACTGCACCTATCATTATTTCATCGGATTGGGGACAACCGTTTGAGGTAATGTATGATGCGAGTGGAGTGATGCTTGGTGTAGTATTGGGACAAAGGCGAGAGAAGATTCTTCATCATATTTACTAAGCTAGCAAAGCTCTAAATGTGGCTCAAAAGAACTATACATTGACTGAACATGAGCTTCTTGCAATGGTTTTTGCATTCGAGAAATTTTGATCCTACTTTCTTGGTACTAAGGTCATTGTGCATACTGACCATTCTGCATTGAGGTATTTAATGGCTAACAAGGATGCAAAATCAAGCTTGATTAGATGGTTGTTGTTACTATAAGAGTTTGACTTTGTGGTGAAAGATAGAAAGGGGACAGAAAATCAGGTTGCCTATCACTTGTCTAGATTGGAGGAAGAACTATGCTGAAGCTTGGTGATAGGGCTGAAATTAATGATGCTTTTCCAGATGAACATGTATTGGTTGCTTCTCACGATCTGATTCCTTGGTTCGCAGACTTTGCTAACTATTTGGCAAGTGATATGGTGCCATCACATTTGTCTTTTCACCAAAGGAAGAAGTTTATGCATGATGTGAAGAATTTCTTTTGGGTATGAACCTTATTTTTATCGTAGTTGTGCTGATGGGATTATTCGTCGTTGTTTGCCCGAGGTCGAGATGTTTAGTATACTAGAGGCGTGCCATTCATCGCCTATTGGTGGGCATCATAGTGGTATTCGGACTGCGCATAAGATTTTGTAGTGTGGGTATTACTGGCCTACCATCCACCAAGATGCTCATGATTTCGCCAAGTCTTGTGACCATTGCCAAAGAGAAGGAGGAATTTCAAAGAGGCAAGAGCTTCCTATGAATCCTATATTGGTGATAGAGTTGTTTGATGTAATGAGTCCATTTGTGCGTTCACATTGCATGAAGTATATTCTTGTTGTGGTTGATTATGTATCACAGTGGGTGGAAGCAATTGAACTTTCCAACAATGAATGTAAGAGTGTCACCGCATTCTTGAAAAAGAATATCTTCTCCAGATTGGTGCACCTAGGGCAATTATCAACGATGAAGGTTCCCACTTTTGTAATAAGTTGTTCAAGGCGTTACTTGAGAAATATGGTGTCCGCCATAATGTAGCCACTCCTTACCATCCACAGTCTAGTGGGCAAGTTGAAGTGTCCAACAGAGAGATCAAGCAGATTTTGGCAAATACTGTGAATACTAATACAACGGATTGGTCAAGGAAGCTTGATGATGCTCTATGGGCCTATCGCACCGCATTCAAGACTCCCATAGGTATGTCCCCCTACCAACTTGTATATGGGAAGTCTTGCCATTTGCTAATAGAACTAGAGCATAAGACTATGTGGGCGATAAAGAAGCTAAATTTGGATTGGGAAGCTAAATTTGGATTGGGGCGCCGCATCAAATCAGAGAATGAGTGACTTGAATGAGCTTGATGAGTTTCGCCTAAGAGCTTATGAAAATTTAGTCTTGTACAAGGAGAAGATGCAGAAGTATCATGATCAAAGGATTGAAAAATGTGAATTTGTTGTGGGTGATCTTGTGCTTCTATTCAACTCTAGGTTGCGCTTGTTTCCGGAAAAGCTCAAGTCAAAGTGGACCGGGCCATTCTTAGTCACACAAGTGCTCCCACTTGGAGCGGTGGAGCTTGAGAACAGTGAGGGACCAAGATTTAAGGTAAATGGGCAAAAGATCAAGATCTATCTGGGAAACGCAAAAAGTGTGCAAAAAGTTGTTGAGGCCTACTGTCTTGATGAATTTTGAATAATCAAGAGGCATGCGTCGTGCCGCGACGTTAAATCAAGCACTGCTTGGGAGGCAACCCAAGATGTACAATCTACCCAACTATAGGTTTTTCTTTTTGGTTTAGTAGTTTTCTTAGTTTATTTGTTTTTCTATATTCCTTTAGATAGGTACTTTTTTTTTTGTTTAGTGGCTAGATATAGCATAGGGTCCGTGCCTAAAAAGTGTCCAAAAAATATAAAAAGAAGGGCCTAACGGTTGCTACATGTGCAGGGGTGAAAAGCAAAATCTGCAGGAAACATTATGTTGCAGAGGTCTACAGACCCCATCGACGCTCCGGGGTTCATTCCACTGACCGTGAATGGCATCCGTAGATCCCAGGTAAGTTCTATGAATTTTTTAAGTGTGAGAGTGACCTACGGATCCCATCTATGGACCGTAGGTCGACCCACTGACCTTAGACGGGGCTCGTAGGTCCAAACCTTAATTCTGCCTGACCCGACCCGGGCCCCTTTGAAATAAAATCCCCCCATTTTCAAATCATTTCCCACTTCTAATATTACATCCTAACCGTTTCTAAACCCATCAAATTCCTAAAATCTTTCCATATTACCACCACTCACCCTTTAATCACCCCACATTCATCCTTCCATTTCCCAAAATCACTCTCTTTTCCTCCCAAATCCCTTCATCACCATTTTTAGAGTTACGATGTCCGGGTTCGGTGCGAAAGGCGAGTAAAAAGGCTGTTGAAAATTTAGATTCATCACACAATCACCCATTTCTGTTGCTTGTAAGGTAATCGACTTTCCCTTCACTTTGAATTTCGATTCATTGCTGTGTAGAAAGTTAGGAAGTGGTTCTTGACCTTGGGTAGTTATTGTATGAAATTGCATGCTAAACTAAAACTATAAAAACCCTTAGGACGATAGATTCTGATTGTGTTGTCTTTATAATGGGTAAAATCAGTGAAATAAGAGTATAAATGCAACTTTCAACTTAGGGTTCCAAGCCTCATATGCCATACCTGTTAAAAATTCAGTAATTTGAGCCCTTGGGATGACAAACTAGCATAAATTATGTTGAAATGCATGATTAGGCTAAGGTCAATAGGTTTGAATTGATAAAATTTGGTTTCGAAGTGAAGAGTGCCTGATAGCTGGCACAGACCTGATCCACGAGACCCCGTCTATGGATCGTAGGTCAATCTACGGACTCTAGATCAGGTTCGTGGTTGGTGGCACACAGCAACTCCACTAAGTGTGGAACCACGGAGGTGGACTACGGTCTGTAGGTCAATCTATGGACCGTTCTGCACATCCGTGGTTCCCATCAGAACCCACCTATTTGGGACTTCTGATCTACAGAGGGGCTCCACGGACCGTAGATACCCACCGTAGGTCGCCACTGAATCCATTGTTTGAAAAATAAATTATTTTTCATTTTGGTTTGTTCTTAGTTCTAAAATTTTTTTTAGTATGTTATGGGTTTATTTTGGTACTAATTATACATCCACATGTACCATGGCTCCTAAGAAACAAGTGACCTACACAAAGAGGGAAAAAAAATATGTGGCGCCTACTTTTAGACTGATTGATGAAGACATAGATGCGGAGAAGGATCCCGCATATGTTCCACCGGCCACAAGGACATCCCTTACTGCACATTAGGATACTCGGAATCAATCCCGCTAGGTGGTCACCGATGTAGTCACTGTCTTTAAGTCTGATGAGGAGAACACACTGATCGGGTCACCGACTGGTTCTTCTTTTGGCTCTGCGACTGGTTCTGCTTCCGGCCTGAGTCTGCCCCTACTTCCTGCTCTAAGTCCTCCCCTGCTTCCGGCTCCAGTTCTGGATCCGCCACATGCCCAAGTTCACATGACCAAGCTACCACATTTGATGAGGCTA